GATCTGTTTATGTCTTTAAAAAGTAATCTCCTTCACCTTTTGGCATCCTGTGAATCTGGAAAAACATTCTTTGTGAACAGCAGTGACAGGAGGTGAGTTGGCTACAAGAATAAGCTAGAAATGTTTAGAAATGAGAAAAATCATTTAAAGCAAGAGCAGAAGGCAGGGTCTGTGGGGGTAAAACAGCTTCATCGATAGAATTAAAGAACTGTAAGGCATAATTCTTGAGATTTATAATAAATATACTAATTATGCTGTTTCAGAATTATGTTACTTCTTAAGCATTCAGTAACTGACAAACCAGCCAAATAGAGCATATGTTACGTCCTCCCTCCTGTGATTTGTCCAATGGCTATCTCATTACTCATGAGAACCTGCTAGAGAAAGAGCACAGAGAAGTCAGATCTCATCAATCCAGTGATATCAAGAGGACAGTCTGAATTCAGATACCTGACTCCACCTCTTTCTGGTTGAAACACTTTGGCAAATTACCTAAGCTCTCTAAAACTCTGTTTCTCCATCTGCAAGACAGTCAGTATGGCAGTAATTCCTAACTCACAGGGTCATTACAAGGGCTAAACAAAAGAATGCATGCAAAAATTCTGACGTACAAAAAATGCTCAATTAACTAATACTAGTATTAGCTATTGCTGATTGTGATAGAGAAAATGGCCTGAGACTAAAGTGTAAACTACATTAGAGTGTGCTGTGGTTTATGTACGGATTTTATTTTTATTTTTTCTAATACTTATTCCCACTTGTTCTGGTAATCAATATAAAGAGGCAGACTACTATAAACATGAAATTAAATAAATGAATCCCACAAGAATTTACATCTAAGTATCCAAAGTCATGTATTACACACACATTGGACAAACCTAACTACAGTTAACACTAAATGTTTAACATGTTTTTATTTTCACTATTAGGTGATTCAAAGTAGAAAAAAAATCACAGTTATATGGAGATACAAGCTGATGAAAAGAATAAAACTAAAAATAACTTTCACATCCACAACAACAACAACTTTACCTAAACAGTAAGTTGCAATGCTATATATCCTATCAAGCTATCACAACAAATTTAAATAAGAATAACTCTAGGCAAATATTCAGTGACAATTATATTCCATTAGGGTTTTTATTTATTGCAAATAAAAACTACCACATCTACAATGTGTTATTTTCAGAGAAGCATTTGCAAATATCAATCTGAACCCTTTTCTTTTAGTTTGACATATAGAAATAAAACATAAAATTATGAATAACTAACATGTTGATTTTTAGGTGAAAATGTAAGAATTCTAAATTCCAAGTCATGACAGCAATTATGATCTTATCTTGATTCCTTAGTATAATGTATATTTTAACCTATATTTAGACACAAAAATAAACATGATGCAAATTGTTGTAGACTTTTTTCTTCAGGCTTTTCTTTTACAATTGCTTTAAGTTAAACACCATGTAACACATGCCATGTGGGAAAGAAATGCCTTTATAGAGGAATATTAGAAAACCCTGAATAAAAAATTACTTTTATATTTGATGACAATAAAAAGTAGTAGTTTTATCTTGAAATGTGCTTATCATATATTAGGTGAAACTAGAGAGGCTTTAACCAAATTATATGCTGGTCCAAAAGGAGTTTCCCCCACCTTTTCCGGTGCTGCCCACTCTGCCTGAGACATGCTCTGCCTGAGACATCCGTGCAGCCCTCCCTTCTTCCCCTAAGGTCTCGCCCCCTCACTTTCTCAGTGCAGCCTTGTGTGGTCCCACCTCACACCACTCCTTTATGACTCATTTTCTACCAAAGCATTCCTCAGTATCTAATACGCCTTTTTTTTTTTTTTTTTTTTTTTTTTTTTTTTTTTTTTTTTTGAGACAGAGTCTCGTTGTTGTTGCCCAGGCTGTAGGGCAATGGCGTGATCTTGGCTCGCTGCAACCCCCGCCTCCTGGGCTCAAGCGATTCGCCTGCCTCAGCCTCCCAAGTATCTGGGATTACGGACACACACAACACCCAGCTAATTTTTGTATTTTTAGTAGAGATGGGCTTCACCATGTTGGCCAGGCTGGTCTCAAACTCCTGACCTCAGGCAACCCGCCCACCTCGGCCTCCCAAAGTGCTGGGATTCCAGGCCTGAGCCACTGCACCGAGTGTCATTTTTAAATTTAACTTGTTTTTTTGTCTAGCTTCCCCCACTGGAATGCAAGTTCCACCAGGGCAGGGACTTTTACCTGTTTTGTTCACAGCTGTACCCCCACCACCTATAACAGAGCCTGCTACTAGGAAGAGCTTGAATGAAATTGCTAAGCAAATGAGTGAACTTGGAAGGTCATCTCTGGTGCAACCCCCTAATTCTGTAGATGAAATACGTGACTCCCCATAGCTGAAGACTGAGTCAGATAAGAGAATCTTCTATGATATCATACTGCCTATATAAATTAGTAGAAAACCCAGCCACTTTTTCAGGAAGCTTACTCCTGTTGACACACAAAGGAATGAGGTTGGTGAGAAACTGAAGTCTCTATTTGCATAATGCTGACTTTTAATGTGCTTCTAATTGGTTTCCTGTCAAGTTTTTAAACATCTATCTTCAACTGTTAAATAAACTATGCTCTTCCTTATTTAACTACTACATGGTAGACAACTGTCCACTTACATGAGGTATCTAGATTAGTCAAAATCAGAGACAGAAAGTCGAAGGGTGATTGCCAGGGACTGGGGAAAGTGGAGAATGTGGAGTGGTTTAAGAGGCAGAGTTTGGGTTCTGCAAGATGGAAAGAGTTCTAGAGATGGAATCAATATGAAGGTACTTAATACCATGGAAATATACACTTAAATGTGAAGGTACTTAATACCATGGAAATATACACTTAAAAATGGTTAAGATGGCACATTTTATGTTGTGTGCATTTTACTATAATTAAAAAGAAAATAAAATAATTTCTTTAAATAATAGGAAATTTTCAACATTTTTTTCTGAAATGCTGAGACATTATATTACTATCTTCAGAGTGTTCAGAATTATTCTCTCAAGTTCTGTACATATTTCATTAATATATACACATATATGTGTCAGACACATTGAATGCATATTAGTCATAAATTACATCTGAGCTTATGAAACATACACGTTTGTTATCTCCCCAGCAATGTGTATGAGTTATGACATTGGAACCTGGAATTCCATTTACTTTCTGCGTATGGATATCTCATGTGTAGAACAGACTGTATGGATGAGTGATGCTTTAAAGCACTGTTTGGGTAGGAGAAGTAAAGTCTTGCTTTTATCAGAGGAACATGAACTCTGCTTCATGTGCAGCTATATCTCAGGTTTCCACATAGAATACAGTGTCTGTCACACCAAGAGCCCCTACAGAACAAGATTTGTTTTGTCTGGTCAAATCAATGTATCATTTGAAAATTATCTGATTTATAAATTTGGTTGACTCACAAAGTCTACTGCATATATGCCCAGTGAATTTCTGGAACAAAAAACACAAAATCATTTGGCAGCATTTACTCCTTTGGAAATTATATTTTGGGATATATTTATATTTTTCCGTAATGTTTAATCATGCCAAACAATATGATTCATTAATCATGTAGGATAATATTAAAATTCCAGTATGTCATTAAAGTTTTACAAATGAATCAATTAAAGTTGTGAATAATTCAGAGATCTAATCTCCACTCAGCTATCAGTATAACCAAATACAATTAGTCACTGAAAATTTTTTGCTTTGTTCTTTGATGCTCAAAATTTGGCCTGTGGGCCACCAGTGCCCTGGTCACCTGGGAACTTGTTCAAGGTAGAAAACCCCAGGTGCCACCTACATCTCATGTAATAAAACCCGTAGCTGATTCGTGTACACCTTAACATTTGAGAAGGACGTCCTAGGGATATATAAAGATATACAATACAAATGTTCCAAATTTATGATCAAAAGGGATCAGGATCAGGGAAGAACATTTGTTTCTTTTTTTGATCCATTATTTCTTAGCTTGTAAAACATATTTTCTAGAGAAAAATGTGTCTCTTCAAGGCAGCTGGATATTTTGATGCAGGATCCCTGTCCTTAAAACTTTGGGATTGTCAGAGGCATTGAAACCAGAGTGACTCCATCTTGAATAGGTGCTGGATAAAATGAGGCTGAGACCTGCTAGGCTGCATTTCCAGGTTAGGCATTTTTAGGCACAGGATGTTTACAATTAAGGGAACAGATTAGTAATATTTACCGTATAGACCCAGGACTTTTAACAGACCCAGGAAATGTCCTGATGTCCTGATATCTTAATAATAAAATCATTCATAGTTTAAGAATAAGTTTCGCTTTAAAGACAGTAACATAGATTCTTGTGGAAGACAACAGTTACAGAAAGCTTAGCAATCCTTCATTAGGAGGCCTTGTAGTAGAGCACACCTTCCCCATGACTTTTTGCTCTGTTGTCTTATATGTAAACAAGCATCAAACCTAAGGTGAGTGTGTCCCTCCCTTTGCTTTGGGGAACACCCTCCTCTGTCTATTCTTTCATCCCTTAACTTTCTAATAAACTTGCTTTCACTACTTTGTGGACTTGCCCGAATTATTTGTTGCACAAGATCCAAGAACCCTCTCGTGGGGTCTGGATCAGGACCCCTATCTGGCAACAGGATCGGCAGATCAGGGATGAGAACAGGAAAAAATTATTAAGAACGGCCTAAAATTACAGGCCTTTGCTGAAGGAAAATCCTTCAACAGACTCAGGAAGACTTTTGCTTGCAGTAAAGAGCCCATCAATGCCTGCTGACCCTTTGACAGACTGAGAACTCTCACTGGACGCAAACAAGATTCCTGACCCTATTTGAAGAGTAAACGATTGGTGGCAAGAATAGAACAAGGTACACTGCCCCGGGAAGCCAAACAGTACAAATGAGTGGAGTTTTCCAGGCTGTGGAAAGAAGAGCCTGATCTCGGGGTAGTGCCTGGTTTCCCTCCCCCAGGGCTGTGCATTGTCCACCCTTTAAAGAACCTCTGGAATAGGAGTTAGAAATGTGTTCGGGGTCAAACAAGTCACATTGAGCGACAAAAGCTAACAAGTAAGTGCGTTTTCTTGCAGCCTTTTGGTAAAGTGGGTGTCTACTAAGTCCACATGGACATAGGATGCAGAACCCTCATTTGCATCACCAGCTTAGAGCAGGTGCAAGGTGATTCCCTTCACTCATGCCGAAGTGAGAAAGACCCAGAGAAGCCAGGCTGGAGAGTGCTGAGCTCTCAGAGGGCCTCCCAGCAGGAGGGGACTGGAAAGGCAGTGGAGTGCTGAGAGTTGGTTGCGCAGGACTGCAAAGGAGCCCAGAGGGGGCTGCACTGGGTCCCAAGAATGCCATTCTCCTGTGTGATAACGCCTCACAGGTACTGCTGGCAAATCAGGCCTAGAGGAGGCTGCCGGGAACACTGCAGGCTGCAGGACTCCCATCTTCTCTATTTGCTCAGCTTAGTGTCATCCACCACAAGGAAGACTTTCTGGTGGAGCGTTATCTCACACTCCCACTCACCTGAGACCTTCCCACTCACATTTGCCAACATTCAAAAACCCTAGAGACTCACATGTCTGTAGAGTGCGGTGTTCTTTCTCTGAGAACATCTGAAAAACATGAGGTGGGTTCCCTGCATCCAAGCAGCAGGAGGCCCTCTGCACAGGAGAGGGGATTGGGCTGGGTGTGTCTTTCTCCAGCCCCGGCAAAAGCCCGGGAGAGGCTCTGGAAGAGAAGAAATCCCTGGAAATAGAGCCTGTCCCTCGTCCCTCACACGCCCATCACCTTGAAGAGTGGTGAATGTCACAATTCACAATTGAACATGTGTTACTTTGGTGCAAACCCTGTTTCAGCAGAAGGAGTATTTGTACCAGGTTTCTAAACTACTTGGGTTTTTTTACACTTAAAAAAAAAAAAAAAAAAAGAATTACAAACCTGGTTCAAACCAAGCTAAAATTTTTTTGCTATTACCAGAATTATTAAGTCATCTAAGCCATAAATTAAATACATTTCTAAAAATTTGTCTTCAGCCTTTCAAGGAAAAATATGTATAGTGTAGAACTGACCCCTGAGCACTTAATCTTCTGTAAATTAACAAATAATAATTATGAGTTTAAAATAACAAATCTAAAACATCTTTTTAAAGTGAGGTGCTGATTTCAATAAAGAAGTGATTTGACTTACAATTCTAGACATATGCAGATTTTTGGACCACATCTATTGAGGAAATCTGTGTCTTGGCATTCACTCTAAACTGGTATTAAGGACACATATTACCTAAATAGTCATGTTTTTAAGATCTACTTAAGTTTTAATTATGCAGCTATTTATACTCCCCTAAATCTAGTTAGTTACAGTTTATGTACCTGGGATGTGTTTCATGGGCAGCGTTTTATTATCATTGAATTTGTGTCTTAATTGAATTGCCAAGCTTACTAAATAACTGGGACATAAGAAATTTGTATTGTAAAGGCTGCACTCAGTCAAAATATTCTAAAATATATTAAAGAAAGGATTTAACAAGAATATATAAAGTGATGGCTTGAAGTGATGAGATAAAGGTTAACCCAAGGATTAACAAATGCCACAATTCAAAATAAAACAGGCTGCAACTACTTTTCCAGAGATGATTTAAAATGTGTAGCATTCCATCTTCTCTCCTGTCTTGTATATACTTTCAACATGCACTTTCATTGCAGCGATATTTGTTTTCCAGAATGTTACTCTAAATTTTAGAACATACACACTTCATCAGCATGCTTGACACTGTTTGTTTCCATTAAAAGCCATTTATATATCTCACATCTCAATCAGATGATATTTCAGAGAGAAACTGAACTTCCCTCTTTCTTTAAGATGTATTTTATGAACACAGTTTATAGTAATGTACATATTTATAATTTGTCAATGAGTGAGAGCATTATATTTTCACCAGAAATACTTCCACGTTGTTAGAGCCAAGAAGACAGATTCAGAGTATAGACGGTGATACGGCAGACAGCCAGGATCACTGATTCATTTTTAGAGCGAATTAGCTGGAGACTTATTAATGTAATTAGAGATTTATTAATGCTATTTAAACTATTAAAATAACCTAACAGTGCTTTTACACAAGTCTCGCCTAATTTTCCCTTACCTCTTGCTCATTTATGTGACTTATGTGTCTGGTTCATGTGTCTGTCCTTAGAAAGGTAGTACATATAAAATAAAATGTACATTGCTGAAAAGAATAGCGGGATTGAATATAGTTCTGTACGCCTGAGACCTATGTTGCCTATCTGCTTAATGGAGTGGAAAGCATGGTGGACTCAAAAGACGATGGAACTCAGAGGCAGAACACTTCATTGCAGCTGAGGTAGGGAAAGAAGTTCAATAACTCGCTGGTAACAAAACCGGTAAATGACATCCCCAAGATCCCAGCCCACATCTGTCAGACTCCAAAGCCCTGAAGTAGCAATTGCACTGTAGAAATGTCTATTACCCAGTTACTGTACAGATTTTTCTGTTTCATCATACTGTGGCCAAACTGGTTTTTGGGGGTTTATATCGCTTGTTTGTTTTCTGTTCAAAGAAATGTCTAGTGCACTTATCAGATGAACTAAAGATGATAGAAACTAAAAGCCAAATTATATTTGTTCTATTAGTGCTACAGAAAAGTGTCTCTCAAACATTAATATTGTAAGAAATGCAGATTCTGACTTGATACTTCTGGGTCGGGCATTCCTAGCCAGCTCCCAAGAGATGCTGAGGCTTCCGGTGTAAGGACCCCACTGAGTAGCAAGGCTTATGGAAGACTCCAACCAATTTTCTGCTTTGGGATTTGAATGAGGCTGGTAAAACTGCTAAACGGGGAATATGCATTTATAGCATTAGCTGCACGTGTGACTAACAAGTGAAAAAAATGATTATGAAATAATGCCTCTAACCAAAAGTGGTCCCTTTGATTTCTGGAGCTCTGCAAATGAATGGAGCCACTAAATGACCACGAAAACCTGGACACAGTTTTCCTGGGTTTTATGACTTACTATTTACTTTTCTTACTGCAATCCTTCTGACATTATCTTAATTATTTCCGATTCCCTCATTCACAATAGGTTACCTTCCAAAAAGAAGACCAGAAAGTCTTTTTTTAAACACAAAGTTTAAGAAAATACACCTTTAACAAATGTCACTGGAAGCAGGAAAATCATCCAAAGTATGTAATTAGGATCAAGAGATTTAGAATGTAATTTTACAAGATAAATGCAAAGGATATATTAGCATTTTGTTCTGATTGGGAAAAGGCTCTCTTTAAAAGGCACACTTATAAAATGTGTTATTTTACAATGGAAATTTTAACACAATGCTTTTACCACTTCATAGCACAGTCTATCTCAAGAATATTACCAGAAATGCTGGCTGTCTCCTTGCACCTGCATTGTTATTTTTTATCAGCATCATAGGGAGAAAATACTTCTTACAGATAACATACATAACTCTCAGCAAGATTATGAACAGGAGTTTAGAAGGTACAGATAAAATATCTCTATATATAGGGATCTTAATTCAAAACAGAATATAAAGCATATGGCCAACCAAATGCAGTCATTCTGTTATCTTTGCTACTCCCTGCTCTATAAAATAATGCTTTCCCCAGCTCACACATTATATAATAAAGACATGTCTTCACTCTGCAAAGCATGCTTTCTTTGCCTACCTCTACTGTTAACATTGCTCAACTAAAATAAATATTTCCCAGAAAATCCAAGAGCCGATATTTGCATCTTTCAAAATAATAGACCAATTTTCTGCTTCCCACCATATCTGGTTTATAGTCTCCCTCTTTCATAGAAAAACACCCTTTCTTGGAAAACACACAACTTGTAAGTCCAAATACTGCAGTGCCAGTTCTCCTCAGCTATGAACTACTCAGTAAGTATTGCTGGAAGAAACAGCTACAGGAGAGGAAAGATAAATACCTACCATTTAAAAATGACTAAAAGAGTATAACTGGAATGTTTGTAACATATAAAATCTTTTAAAACATTTTTTAAAATACCTACCACAGAATAATATGTAAATTCCTGAAGGACTGAAGATGCAAACTTTAATGGAATAAACAAAATTCAGAGAAACAATACAAGACAATAATTTTTACCCTCTTATTTAAAAAAATTATCAAAATACACAATAGGAAATGTTTAAGGTCCATAACATGAAAAGTGCTTCCTCAAATCATTAGGACAAAAGGCAAAGGGCAAAATGTAAAAATAGGCAAGGGTTCTGAAAAGATAATTCTCGGGGTGGCAGAGGGTGGGGGGAATATGCAAATGTAAAATTAACATGAATAAAGATGTTCAGCTTTACCAGAAATCAGGAAAACACAAGTTAAAAGAATTTGAGTCTATATATCCCACCAGATTGATAATGAACAGTGGATGGTTTGATCGTTATAGAGAAAGGGGCACTCATAGAGAAAGAGGCACTCTTGTAGATTCTATCTAGAAGACTCTGTCACAGTAGCAATCCAATTCCTGGTGATTTTTTTTTCCCTTTGCATAGATAGGACAGACTACACGCATGTATGAGAAAACCTGTAACAAAAAAGGAGCATAATTTCAAGTCCCATATCCCTTTACCCTAGTAAACAAGAAATGGTAGGGGTCACTTGTTGTCTTCACTTTCCCAAGTCGTTCTGCAGTTGTACCCCATACAATCCATGTGGTCAAACACAACAGCCCTGTTCTTTCCCCACCGTAAAAAGACTCTTTAGAAGAAACAGCAATAAAGTTATAAGATGGAGATTTCTTTGTTGAATATCAGTCAAAAGAAACTAGGACAACTAACAAAGACAGCTCAGAATCCTCCTGGAGTTATGCTATAGAAAAAATATGATCTGTCCACCTGCTTTGCTAATTTGGGCTCAAGAACTTGAGCATCAAGACAGTTTATTTTTTCCATTATTAAAAAAAAAAATCCTTTCCAAGAGTGGCAGCCAACCTATCCTCCCATTACCTACAGAGCCATCCACTTAATGAAGAAAGAGTTTGTTTAGAGTACAATGAAGATAGACAAACCGCTGGGGA